AAATTAATGGAAAATGGAAGAAATTAATGGAAAATGGAAGAAATTAATGGAAGATGGACGAAATTAATAGAAGAAAAGCTGGGATGCTGAAAGACTCTACCCAAAAAGGATGATGAAAACGGGGATTGTATTTACCGCGACAGAAGTATTTTGAGGAAACCCCACACTTTAAACTTTAACTGCAAGTGTTTGACCACACTGAAACCAAGCTACTTATGACTCAGCACCTCCTCTGGTGTGTTCACATCGATAGCATCTCGTTATTTGCATGGCCTGATGAATAATTATAAAACACAAACACAACAGTCACCACCAGCACCAGCCCACAAGTCCCAGCTCGCCACTGTCCTGCCCAACAAGCTCCACCACGGCTTGTGCTCAAATGTGGCATTTTCATCTCGTTGTAAACGGCTTTTTTTTTGGTCGTTTCTGACCCATTTTAATCCCACACATTCATCCCCCTCTCCAGGAACCACCACAGCAAGCTGAGGATAGACCAGAAGAGTGTTCTTTGACCACCCCTTTCTCCACGCGCTCTCATGCAAACGGTTGCTCTGCCAGTTCCACTCTCCCCATGGAGCCAATTTAAAACAGGAATCACACCCCAAGGCTGGGTCTGGATTTCCTCAGCACCGAGGGGCTGGAGTGGAACAAGCAGAGTGGGGACTCAGCACATTGTGCTCGTCAGCTGGAGAAACAAACCCTGAAATCGGAGGCTAAAGGGTGAAAAAAGTACGAAGGGCACAAAGAATAATAATTTTTAATAATTATTTTGCCTTACCACGATAAACTTTGCAAAATTCGGTCTCTAACTGACTGCTTTGAAGTGAATTGTTGTTAAAAAAGGTAACAAATTTAGAAACTCTGCTTGAACCCAAGAGCACACAACCACAAATCTGAAGAGACTTCCAATCTTGAGAGAGTTTTTCCTTGGATGTTCAGAAAGGGAAATAAATCTACAAGTTTTTCCTTTCTCCCTAAGAGTGAGAGACCAGAAAGAGTTAATTCCCAGATGTCTGCTGGTATCAGTTCTGCACATTTTTGTTTACACAGGCCCATAATATGGTTAGAAAAATTAAGGAGCATAAAGCTCTTTAAACCCTCGTGCACTGCATAATCTTGAGAGGTTCCTTCCAACCCAAACAATTCTGGGCTCCCCTGGAAGATCACGGGTTTGGCTGCAGGTTTTTGAAGACAGGCTGGTTAAAAACAAATAATGAAAACAGGAAAAAAAAAAAAAGCCCAAGATGATAAACAGAACCATGTTAAATTAAGTTCATTGGCAATTTTTTTTTTCAGAGGCTGCTCAGCTCTGTCACAGAGATTGATAGGGAATCCATGGTTGAGGCAGCACGGAATTACATGAAGAATATAAATAGGAAAACTGTTCCAAATGCAGGAAAAATAAAATATGACCAAAAGAAAAGAGAACTATCTACACCTGAAGTGGCAGAACCGGCCAGCAGAGCTCAAATCACACTTTCTTGTTCATATTTTAAAGCAAATGTTGCTGTGAAGAGTCGACGCATTGATTTTAAAAGACCAAAATCAGCCACAATATTTAAGACATGTTCCATGCAACCACGCCTGATTTTGAGCCCAGTTTCAAGCTCAGATGAGCCTGAAAAGTCCTGATCTGTGGATGCCATTTCTCAGAGAGACTTTTTCGCAATTTGGGAACTCTCAAAAGGAACAAAGAGCTGAACTATCCCGTTTTCCAGGCAGCATCACCAAACCCCGAAGCCTTTGGCGTGTTCTCCCCTCCTGACCAGAAGATCACAAGTTACAGACAGACAAAACCAATTCCTGCTTAGCTTTGTTCAGCCCCCTCCTCATGGAATGGGATGGTCTTTAGGGTCCCTTCCAACCCAAACCAATCTTTGATTCCACGTTGTACAAGGTGCCCAATCCCCTCGGAATCCAGACCTTTGGTTTGCACTTTTTAACAGTAGTTCCTCAAAGTCAGGGAAAGAAGATTTTTGAGCTTGTTGGATTCCTGTAATTCCTTTTTTTCTCTGTCCCAAACACTTTGACCACCAAATCCTCCAGATTTTATTCCAGGATTTCGGTGAAGTCACCTCACAGTGTGGGATAAGCAAGTGATTTGTTTGGCTTGCTTTAACTGAGGTGCCATTGCAGCAGTGATCAGTAGAAAATGTTTCATTAAAGAGGTTCAGAAGAAACATAAAATGAACTGTACACACACCAGTTAAAGCCTGAAGCACAAAAATTGGGAAAATCCAGCTCAGCATCTGGAGTCTTGGGAAACATTTTCAGGAATACTTCACACAAATCGTATTCATGACACAGAAAGTAGAGACTCCAAAAAAAAAAAAAAAAATCCACCTATTCTCTGACTCCCCCACAATCTCAAACTGCTAAAATCATGCAAAAACACAAGACTCAATAAACCAGAAAAAGAAAAAAGGTTTAACCACGCAAAAAGCAGAAAAAATTTCATTGTGTCCTCTCAGGACCTTTCCATTTTATGCTGATAGCAGCAGAAAGAAAATTAAAAATATATTTACAAGAGACAGAAAAGTACATCCAATTATACAGCCGGGTCACCCAGTGCCCCTTCCTGGGAAAACAACATAATTCCAGGTGAAATGAAGCAAAAAGAGAATCAAATGATTGCGAAAGGAGAGCCAAGTTTTGCAAAGGAGATATAGATGATCTATTAATTGGTGCAGACAGATGGGTGCTGTAATAAGCAATCCTGAGTGTCAGGAGAGCTTCTTACCACAGATCCAGTTTGTACACTCTTTGTTAAGCCTCTACATATGAGATTTTGTGGTTATTTTTATATGTATATAAAAACAAAACACTTTTGATGACACCGGGGATAAAAAAAAGGAGGGGATGTCTCCTCATCCACCCCAAGGCACTGCAAATAAAATGCAGGGAAAAGGGGTAGGAAACAGTAGTTTGTTGGTGTGGTTGTGGATTTATACATTATTTATCATTAGAAGAAGCTCATCCAACTCCTGGCGTAAAGGAGAAATTAAGGTGTGTAAAGGAGAAATTAAGGTATGTAAAGACAACTGTTAAAAAGAGTGAAAATAATGAAAAGAAAGGGTTGACTCCCACAGGCAAATTTTAAAATAAATTTGAAAGTTCCTAACGGGGAGGAACAATGAGTAAGAACTCATGAGACTTTAGAAAGAAAGGATGAAGGAGGATTAATTCACAGTTATCTGTCCCAGGAAAATGGGAAGATAAAACAACAACCCGGACTCCTCCTGTAGAAGCGAGAGGACAAGAGGAAAATGTCACCTCAGTCACTCCCCACCCAGCCCTGAGCACGGAGAAAGGGAAGGAAAGGAGCTCATTCACTGCACACAAGCACTGCCAGCGTTTCCCCAGCCCATTCCCACCCACATGAAGGCACAAAAGCAGAATAAATTATTCTCCCAACTCCATTTTAATTAGACAGTAGGAAAGAAACTCCAGTACTTGTGCTCCCCGGTTCCACTTGTGTTGCATCTTAAGGGAGAACCACACCATAACCCCCCCACTATTTCAGTTTAGGAGACCGTGGAGGAAAGAGGGAGCGTGGAAAGGCACAAACCCTTTCGGGTGAGATTTCATGAAATCATGGAATTGTTTGGGTTGGAAGGGACCTCAAAGCTCATCTAGTTCCAACTCCAGGGATGCCACTCACTAGATCCAGAGGGATGGGTCTGGCAGCTCGCTCCTTGAGTTCATATTCCTTGGGAAGGAACTGGAGAGGGAGCTGGCCATCCTCCCCGAGATGGGAAGCAGGATGCTGAGCGAGCATCTCCTTTTCCCCTTGGATCCTCGCCGCGTTTTAAAGGCGAAGGGAACAAGTGCACACGCGGGACCAGCATCCTCTCGGATTCCCGCTGCACGGCGAAGGAGAAGGAAGGAGATGCTCGCACAGAACACCTGCACGCATTCCCCGGGTGGAAAAGGAAAGAGGAGCGCGTGGATACAGCCGCGAAGGGAGAAGGATGAGGGACGAGCATCCCTTCCCCGGGATCCCGCACTACGGCGCGGGGGGAGCCCGGGACGAGCACCCCCGGCCCCGCAGGGAGGGACGGGCGGTGAATCCATCCCCTCCGCGGCGCTCAGCACCAGCATCCCCCCCGGGTCCTTCTCCCGGGACGAGCATCCCCCGGTCCTTCTCCCGGGACGAGCATCCCCCGTCCCTGCGCTCCGCTCCGCTCCGCCGCTCCCCCGCCCGCCCAGCGCTGCATGGCCGCCCCGCCAGCGCCTCGGCGGGCGGCTGCACGTCCCCGTGGCCCAGAGGGCGGCACCCCCGGCGGAGATACCCCCGTCTCCCATCGCCCCGTGGCCGGTACCTGCCCGCGGGGGTCCCGCAGCCCCCGCGCTCCCGCGTTGTCCCCTCGGGTGGCGGCGGCGGCGGCAGCAGCGCGCGCCTCCCCGCCCGCCCCTGCCCGCCGCCAGGCCACGCCCCCTCCGCGCCATCGAGCCCCGCCCCCTTCCCCGCCGCGCAGCCAATCGGAGCGCGCCCGGCAGGTTGCTAGGTAGATCGGAACCCCCGGCCGGGCTAACCCCGCCGGGGGGAGCTGATTGGCTGGCGACCACCCCCGGGGGTTGTCATGGCGACGGGATGCGGAGGGGAGGGGGGAGGAGGAGGAGGAGGCGGCGGCGTCCGAGGGAGGAAAGAGGAAGGTGAGGGGACACCGTGGGACACTGTGGGACGCGGGAGCCTTGGGAGAGTGTGGGGAGCGAGTGTCACTGCAGTGGGGCGCGACCGAGCCCTGAGGGGACACGAGGGGACAGGGGGGACACGGGAGCCCTGGGAGAGCGCGAGGAGGGGTGTCATGGCAGTGGGACACGGGGAGGCATGAGGGGACACGGGGAGACATGAGGGGACACCGGGGGACTTGAGGGGACATGGGAGCCCTGGGAGAAGGTGGGGAAGGGGCGTCACTGCAGTGGGACACGGCCGAGCCCTGAGGGGACACGGTGGGGACAGTGGCACCTGGCTCGGAGCAGCCCTGGTGTGGCAGCAGGAGCAGGGAAGGGATTGTCCCCCTGTGCTGGCACTGCTGGGGCACCTCCAGGGCTGGGGGCAGCTCTGGGGCTCTCAGACAAGAGAAACATGGAGGGGCTGGAGCATGTCCAGGGAAAAGAACGGAGCTGGGGAAGGGGCTGGAGCAGCAGGAGAGGCTGAGGGAACTGGGGGGGCTCAGCCTGGAGAAAAGGAGGCTCGGGGGGACCTTTTTTTCCTCTCCACAACTCTCAGGGAACAAGGGACAGGAGGAGAGAGAACGGCCTCCAGCTGTGCCAGGGGAGGGCCAGGTTGGATATTGGGGTGTTCAGTCACTGTTACAGCTGCCCAGGGCAGTGGTGGAGTCCCCATCCCTGGAAGTGTTCAAAAAACACGTGGATGTGGCCCCTGGGGACCTGGGTTAGTGGTGGGTAAATGTTGGATTGGATGATCTCAGAGGTCTTTTACCAACCTGGACGATTCTGGGATGCTGTGAGGGAGACCTCCCACAGTGCAGGGAGGACAGGGAATAAAGGCATCATGCAAAGAGTATAAACTCAGTAAATGAGTGGGAAAAGCACTTTGTATCCACGGACAAGTCTCAGCCTTGCTGGACTATTGATTTCACCCCCAGGTCCTTTCTCCTCAGCTCTCCATCCACTCTCTGCCCTCTGTTCCTGTGCTTGTTGCTGCTGCTCAAAGCTTTTCTTCCATCATCCCACTGCTTGTTTTTGATATAACTGCAATCAAAATTACTTTCCTGTCTTAGCTTGAGGTTGATTCTGTTAAATTCTGTTTATTCCCGGCTGAACTCCTCGGATTGCCCCGTGGATTGATGTGATTAGGAAAAATGCATCCTTAAAATTCCGAGTGCGCCGGGCTCTGTGCACCACAAAGGCTCTTTGCTGTAGGGATGTGGTCAAAAAACATTAATAAAGTGGGTCTGCTCCTGCAGGAGTTGTTTTGAGTATGGTTTGCCCAAACCTCTGGAATGCCAGAGATTAGCCCAGGTAAAGGAAATTATTCCCATGCCCTTAGTTAGTGGGATATGATCATTATGGATTGTTAAGCTTTCTTCAGTGCAATCACTTGGGTTTTTAAACCAAAAACTTGACCCAGCTTGTGCTGAAATCAGTGAAATTATTTCCAGTGGTTTCCAATTTAAATTGTCTCGCTGTTAGAACCCACCATTCATGTTTCCTGCCCTGTGGAATTACTCATCTTCTTCAAACATCACCAAAATCTCTTGGATCCCCACTCAGTGTATCCTTCCATCCAAACTGGGAACCATTCCCAGGGACTCTGGCTGCAGTAATTGAGGCAGTTTTCCTTTTTTAAACCCTGTATAAACTCCTAAAATTTGGACTTTCCCCAGTCTTCTCCCCAAATCTCTTTTGCACTGGTATTTACTATTCTTGCCACCTGCTCCCACATTCCCTTTTTGTTTTTTCTGGAACAATAAGAGGTGATTTTTTTTGAGCATTGTGTGCCAATAGTTTTTCCTCCCTGGGTAGTGAACCAACACATTCCTTATATGTATTTAAAGCTTGATTCCCTGTTAACCTCATCCCACCTCTCTTGCTGGTGGAATGTTTTCGGATCAGCTGAGCTGGATGAATTTCATCCCAGGGTATGTGAAGAACAAGCTGGAGCAACCTCTGGAATGTTGTTTTGGGCAGCCAGTCCAAAGATAAAGACTATTGCAGAAGAGAAGTGGGGCCCTGGCTAAAGTGATAGGACGAAGGGGAATGGCTTCAAAGCAAAAGAGAGGAGATTTAGGTGGGATATTGGGAAGGAATTCTTGGCTGGGAGGGTGCTGAGGGGCTGGGTTGGAATTCCCAGAGCAGCTGTGGCTGCCCCTGGATCCCTGGAAGTGTCCAAGGCCAGCTTGGACGGGTCTTGGAGCAACCTGGGATCATGGAAAGGCACAAAGATAAAATCACAGGATCATGGAATCATGGAATCTCCTGAGCTGGAAGGGGCTCACAAGGATCATCCAGTCCAACTTCTGGCCCTGTATAGGATACCCAAAAATCCCACTGTGTCCCTGAGAGCCTTGCCCAAACACTCCTTGAGCTCTAGCAGGTTTTGGAAGTGACCATTCCCTGGGGAGCCTGTTCAGCGCCCGACCACCCTCTGGGGGAAGAACCTTTTCCTGAGATCCAACCTAAACCTCCCCTGGAACAACTCCAGCCGTTCCCTCACATCCTGTAGCTGGAAAGAGAAGAGATCAGTGCCTGCCCCTCACGAGGAAGTCGTAGCCAGGCTTTTTCCACACCCTGAGCCACATTTTTGGCACAGCAGGTGCACGAGAGGGTCCCGAGGCCCCGTGAGCTGCTCCCGTGCCAACCCTCGGAGGTGCTCCGGGAATGTGGCCGCTCCAGCACCAAGAAACCACATCTGTGAGGGAAAACTGGGACATGAACCCAGGGCTGGGAGTGTTCTGCAGTGCCAGCTGGTGGGGTTGTGACTAATGGAGAAAGTTGTCCCTGAAAAACAGGACACGGTTGCCCGAACCTGTTTTTTTGGCAGAGGAGCTGTTTCTGTGCACTGGAATGGGCAGGGGCCTTGCAGGAAAACAAAACAAAAACAGCCCAGTGAGTGATGCCATCCCAAAGTGTATCCCAAAAACACCTACTCAGTGGCACAAGAAGCCTCTGGCATTGTACAGCTGCAGAATTTGGGGCTGTGAAACCTTGGTGAGTCCTTTAGGTCTCAGCGTCTTTTCGTGGGAAGTTAAAATTTCCATGTACAGACAATATGTTCTTTGAGGACCTTTAGCCTCCAAAAATAAAAAAAAAAAAAGCAGGAAGAACTCAGGCCCTTGTAGTGAACTTATTTCCAAGGACCATGTTACATCCCCAGGTGCAGAGAGGAAAACGTAACAGGTTCTTCATTGATTTTCCTTTATGTTTCTTTGATTCCATAAGAAAAATTAGTCATAAAAGTGATGTTCCCAGGCAGATCCTGCAGTGGGTTTTGAAGATTATTAATCCATTTATATATTGAGGAATTTTGTCTGGGTAAGGAATGGGGTCTGAGCTTCCACGATGTGTCTCCTGAGCCTCAGAGCTGTATTAGCAAGAAATGTCCTTTTTCTGGGTGAGTTTTGAGGTGTTTGGGTTCAGGGCAGGCTGGAAAGACACTATGGGAGTTACTTCATGGATTTGCCTTTTCTTGTGTTCGAAAATTCCTGTTATTACCACAAAGCTTTAAAGCAATCTGAGGTATTTACAGGAAAACTGCCTAATCACTGTGTGCAGGAAACAGAGACATTTTTAATGTGGTAAAGGAATTATCTGGTTTTCAGGCTGCTGCAGTTTCAGTCTCCAGTCTGGGAATTGGATACTTGAGGGGAGGGTTGGCATTATCCTGCTGAATCCAGCTGCAGGATAGAAGATAAAGAAAAAAAACAACAACTTTTCCTGCATTTGGGCAAGAATTAAAGAAGAAATTACTTTGGAGATGGTTGGACTCCACGATCTTAAGGGTCTTTTCCAACCTCAGCAATTTTATGGAGTTCAGTAAATTGGGAAGGGAACATTTTGTTAAATGTCTGATTTGCTTCACGTAGAAATTTCAGTTTAAAAGAGCAGCACAATCCCAACCATCCAAACCTGCTGTGCCTGAACACAGGACCCTGTAAGATTTCAGTCAATTCTGAACCAGTTTGGGTTCCAGAAACCAATTGCCCCTTTGAGACTTGGCACGATATGCCCATGAAAACCAGCAGACACACCAGTTACCTCCAGTTTTCAGTCCCAATAACTGGAAAAGGGAATTTCCTGTACTTTCCAGCTTGCTGCAAGGACCCTGTTGTGATCATTCACACAGGATCACTGAATTGTAGGATTGTTAAGGTTGGAAGAGACCTCTGAGATCATCAAGTCCGACCATCAACCACCACCACCATGTTCACTTCTAACCCCTCCAATGTCCTCAAGTGCCACATCCACGTGGTTTTTTAATAATTCCAGGGATGGGGACTCCACCACTGCCGTGGGAAGCCTGTTCAAAGACATAATCAACAACATTTGTGATGGGGAAAACCTGCTTAACTATAAAGTATTTAGTAGTGCACAGAGGTTCCACAGGGAAATCCCAGGATCCCAGGATGGTTTGGGTTGGGAAGGGACCTTAAAGATCATCCAGTTCCACCCCCTGCCGTGGGCAGGGACACCTTCCACTAGCCCAGGTTGCTCCAAGCCCCGTCCAACCTGGCCTTGGACACTTCCAGGGATTTTACTTCCTTCTGATGGTTACTGTGGGTACCTAAAATAAAAGGCTTTACCTGATTTTCCAGTAATTTTCCTCGTGCCGTTGCTGTGCTGTGAAACCACCGGATTCCTTCTTAAAATGATTTGCTTTCCGTGTAGAGGAACAGCACAGGGATAATGCTGGCCTTTGTTTTGTGTAAATGTTGCAGCCACTGGTGCTGACAAGAGGCTCCCCCACCTCCTGCATCCATGGCATTTGCTCCTCCCAGGAACACGGATGGCTCCAAGCTGCAGATCAAGATGAGCACGTGGACCCCTCTGAACCATCAGCTCATGAACGACAAGGCAAGTTTTGTGCCTGAAATTCGGAGAGTCACGGGATTTTTGGGGCTGGAATGGACTCCTGGAGATCATCCAGTCCAAACCCTCAGGGCAGAGTCAGATTTACCAGTTATTTGCTCAGGATCATGTCCTGGGTATTGGAATATTCTCATGTCCTGAGGTTTTGAATGTTCTCATGTCCTGGCTGAATATTTTCATGTCCTGAGTACTGGAATATTCTCATGTCCTGGCTGTTTGAATATTCTCATGTCCTGGGTATTGGAATATCCTCATGTCCTGGGTGTTTGAAAGTTCTCATGTCCTGAGGTTTTGAATGTTCTCATGTCCTGAGTGTTGGAATTTTCTCATGTCCTGGATATTTGAATATCCTCATGTCCTGGGTGTTTGAATGTTCTCACGTCCTGAGTTTTTGAATGTTCTCCTGTCCTGGGTGTTGGAATATTCTCCTGTCCTGGGTATTGGAATATTCTCATGGCCTGAGGTTTTGAATATTCTCATGGCCTGAGGTTCTGAATATTCTCATGTCCTGGGTGTTGGAATATTCTCATGTCCTGAGGTTTTGAATATTCTCATGTCCTGGGTGTTGGAATATTCTCATGTCCTGAGGTTTTGAATGTTCTCATGTCCTGGGTGTTGGAATATCCTCATGTCCTGGATGTTTGAATATTCTCATGTCCTGGGTATTGGAATATTCTCATGTCCTGAGTGTTTGAATGTTTTCCTGTCCTGGGTGTTGGAATATTGTCGTGTCCTGGGTATTGGAATATTCTCATGTCCTGGATGTTGGAATATTCTCATGTCCTGGATGTTGGAATATTCTCATGTCCTGCTGTTGGAATATTCTCCAGTCCATGACAAATTCTCAGGTTCACTGCACAAATTCTCAAGCCCTAGAAAAATTTAATTTATTTTTTGCCTATGTAGGTCATGATTAATGGAATAAGACCCTCAAGGTTTTGTTCCTTTTAAACCAAAAAAAAAAGTGTATTTATTTCTTGCTGAAAGTCCCCAAATCATTCTTTTTCTTATTTTTGCACCAGAAGATTTTTGGTTCCGCCCCATCCCTGCCTTCCCAGCCTTCAGGAATGAGGCTGGATTGATATTTTGGAAATGATGCACCAACTTATAGATAACAGGATGCATTTCCCAGCCTCCCACTCTGATCCTAAATCTGGGACCTGCTGACATCTCTGCTTTGGGCTCCTGCATCACCATATTCCTCCCTCGGAATTCAGATTTCTGGTGATGATTCACAGGATTTGATCCAGGGAGGGCCATCACCTCGTGGAGTTTGGCTCCCTGCATTTCTTGGGCCCTCTTGTTTCACACAGTTCTCCCACTCCTGAGCTCAGGAACTGGAATTTGGCTAAAATACATTTTCCACGAAGGCATCCAGGCTTCCTTTGGGGTTAAGGACATCCATTCCTTGCAAAACTAAAGTTTCATCACTTCCCTGCTGATCTTCTCACGATTAATCCCCTCTACCATCAAAAGGTGAAGCCCTGTCTCCTGTCTGAATACCTCCAGCATTAAGATTAATTTGATTCTTCCCTTTCTTGCTTATTAAACTCTTCTGCATCCAGCATTTTTCCCTTGTGGAAGGACTTTTATCCTGCTTCAAGCCAACACTTGAATCTTCTCTGATAAACTAAACAGATTGAGCTCTTTGAAGTCCTTTCAATCTGGCACATTCTCCAGCCTTTGAATCATTCTAATGCCTGTTTCCTGCTTAAAAAGGTATTTTTACAGCCACAGATCACTGTGCAATAAATGATGACCTAACTGGAAATAAGTAGGTGGGTAAAACCACCTTTCCCCACCTTTTTTTACCCCTCTCATCCTCAGGGAGTCAGAGGCTGCAGCAAAACTTTTAGGAGTTAAAATTGGAGGCCTTTTCCAACCTTAATGATTGTCTGAAATTCATGATAAAAAGTGTTTTCTTGTTTCTGATCCAGTTTTCAAAGCACTGACCCGCCTGAAACTCCTTTTTTCAACATCCCCGCAGCGAAGGCAGGAGAAAAATAGTTGCAACAAAAATAGTGCTGACGTCTGGAATCAGGAGATATTCCAGATTCCAAGTGATGTACATGGAGCTGGGAAGGGAGAAGGTGCCATTTCTGTGCAGTCACATGTCTGCTCATCTCTGCACCCTCAGGAGAGGAGAGGATTTAGAGATGGGAAGCGTGTGACAAACAGGGAGAGAGGAGATGGGCGAGAAATGTGGGTGGAAAAGGCAGTGGAGGGGCAGGAATGGTGGGAATTCAGAGCTGCTCCAAGGCAGAAGCATCAAAACTCCATCCAAATCCTTTCTAGGAGCAGACCCAGGGACGGTTAATGCCATAAATTTGCTACTGTCAAATTTTGGGTAATCCTGAGGGTACTCCATTAGTAGGAGACTTCCCTGGATTTTTGACCATGCTGAAGAGCACACTCATCATGGAATTGTAGAATCATGGAATGGTTTGGGTGGGAGGGGACCTTAAAGACCATCCAGTTCCAGGGCAGGAATTCCTTCCACTATCCCAGATTGCTCCAAGCCCCATACAACCTGAGGCTGGAATGAGATGAGCTTTAAGGTCCCTTCCCACCCGAACCATTCCATGATTCTGTGACTGTTCCAAAGCCTGGATCAGCATCAGGGACAGACCAAAGCCAAGGAGGCAGAGCTAGGAAATCTTGAATTTTGCAGCCAGAAAAACAGAGGTGAAGTCTTAGCTATGCTGAGGTTGTGCTGCAGCAGAGGATGAAGCACAGGTGGGATTGGAGCATCCTGAAGATTTCAGCGTCAGTCTGGAGAGCGCAGGGCTGTGCTGCCTCCAGGGTAGGGCTGGAATTTAGGAGATGATTTGCCTTCCACTGGGGCAAATGCCTCCAGTGGCATTTGCAGCAAAGGCTGCAGGGCTTAGCCTAAGCCAGCCTTGAGCTTGAGCTTATTTAAAACCACCTGAAGGCATGGATGTGAGAAGGGAGATCTCGGGAGCAACCTGGGCCTCCAGCTGCATCCAAGGACAGCAGGAATAGGAACAGCTCCAAGGCCTTGGAGGAGAAGACACAAAACATGGGCTTGATGAAGGCAGTGGGTGATTATCCCAATTTGGGGCCATTCTGCTGCTAATTAATACTTCCAAGTGCCTGGAGAGGCAGAACTTTCTGCCGGGCTGAGCTCAGAAGTGTCTCCAGGAGCGCTGAAAGCAAATGTGTGTCTTTCTTTGATCAAAGACCATTAGCATTGCCCTTGGTTACATAAACATCTCCCTGCTCCACTCGAATTCTCCGACCCAAAACTCAGATCTTTGACTATTCATCACTTGCTGGGGGCAAATCCTTTCCCAAGTTCAGCTTTGTTGGCTTTGGGGTTTGGAGTTTTTTTTTTCCGCTCGATACTTTTTTTTCCCTTCTGACTTTACTGAGTCTCCCCCCCACACAAATAAAGCGAATCATAACTGTACAAATAAAAGGAATGTCATTTCCCAGCCCTCTCAGGAGATGCTCCTGCTGAGAGAGACAGAACCAAAGCTGTCAACTGCAGCAGCACTGACAATGTCCTTCTCTGCAGGAACCCCCTTCGCTGGCTGTCACAGCAAGGACATCTCTGGGCTTTGTAATGATCAGCCACGTTTCCCTAGTCGTGCTTAATAGCTGTTTTATGTGCACTTATAAGCTGGGCTTTCCCCCCCCTCACTTTGATCTGCGTGCTGGAAAAATCGTTTGCAGCCTTTCCCCACTTCCCAGGTCACAATCCTGAGCGCGGGGGCGGTTTCGTGGGAGCGGGGAGGCCACGTGTTGGAGCTTTTTCGGGCCCAGCTCCCCACGGATAAAGGTCAACATCATAAATCCTCGGCTGGGTTTTGATCCCGATCGTCCCCTCACTGTAAAGGGCCCAGGGAACAAAGACCGGGCTTGTTATCCTGCTCCTGACTCTTTCCCTGCCTGAGGATTGAATCCGTCGCCGGGGTGGCGTGAGAGTAGCTCGGGTTGTGCCCACGTGAGGAGATTCCAGGCATCCAATGCCTCTCCAAGTCAGGATTAATGAAATTCCTAAAATAAAGAGGTGGGAAGGCAAAATTCTGGTCTCACCAAAGCACATGAGGCACCACACACTGCATTCCCAAAGAGTTCCTATGGAGCCAGGATGGGAGAGCAGGGGGGGTTCACCTGGAGAAGAGAAGGATCCAGGGAGAGTTTGGAGCCCCTTCCAGTGCCTAAAGGGGCTCCAGGAGAGCTGGAGAGGGACTGGGGACAAGGGCCTGGAGGGACAGGACACAGGGAATGGCTTCCCACTGCCAGAGGGCAGGGAGAGATGGAAGATTGGGAAGGAATTGTTGGTTGTGAGGGTGGTGAGGCTCTGGCACAGGTTGCCCAGGGAAGTTGTGGAATCCACATCCCTGGGGGTTTGGGTTGGGAGCAACCTTAAAAATCATCTCATTCCACCCCCTGCCATGAGCAGGGACACCTTCCACTATCCCAGGTTGCTCCAAGCCTGGCCTTGGACACTTCCAGGGATGGGACATTGAATCCAGGGGGGTTTCATGAGCACACTGATAACTTCCTGACACGGGTCATCAAGGAACAATCAACAAGGGAAGAGGCACTGCTGGACCTCCTGCTTCCAAAGAAGGAAGGACTGGTTGGGGATGTGAAGGTCGGGGACCTGGAGATGTTCAGGGAGGTTGTGGGGTCTCCATCCAAGAAGATACTCAAAGCTCACCTGGGTTTCAAAGCCTTTAGTTGATCCCATCAGGGATTTTGGACTGAAGGATCTCCTCAGGTTTCTTCCAAACTCACCCATTCAGTTCTTCTCTTTCTGTTTTGTAGTTTGGTTTTTCTAAGCTGTATTTTCCTCAGGACATATGGAATCCCCTCTAAATATTCCATTTTCTTTGTGTGTGTGTGTTTTACAGGTATTTGAAGAAAGAAGAGCCCTCCTTGGAAAATGGGTAAACTTTTCCCCTTTAAATATTTATTTAAATACGGATAAATTTTGGGGCTGATCGAGGGATTATCTGATGGGGATGTAAAACTTACATCCTGTTTTGAAAAAGGGATTCATTTTCCTGATGGGAAAGTGAGCCATGGCCTGACAGAGGGTCTTTGAAATCTGTAATAAATGACATTTTATCTACCAAGTGCACACATAGAATCATGGGATGGTTTGGGTTGAAACTGGGGCTTATTCTTTATGGTTAATAAGTCATTAATGACATTTTTTTTGCACATGGACTGGTCTTTACAGGCAAATATTTTGATTTTAAGGATTTTTTGGTCATTATAGGAAATATTTCCATAACTTGTTGCCGTGAGTGCATTTTGATGATAAGGAATTTCAGGGACACCAAGAAAACTAAATAACTGAGTGATTATTGTTCATAAAACACCTTTTCGTGTGATATCAGCAGCTGAGAGATCTAAACCCCTTAGAAATCCCTTGGAAATTGCTGGCAAAAGGGCAAAGATGTTTCTATTAGAGCTGAAAGAGCCAAAATGTGGGAAGAACATTTCCAGAGATCTGAGAAACCCCAAACGTGCAGCAGCTCTGCAGAAACTGCTGGGAATTCTGGTGGATCACCAAGTGGACATGAGCTGCCAGTGTCTTACAATGGCAATAAGGGGAAATATCCCCAAGTCATTCCCAGTTCTGCTCCCTGCATTTTGGGAAAGATGGAGACACTCTGAGAACAAGTCAAGATGTGAGAACAGACTCGGGTCCAGAAAATATGGAAACAATCCCTGTACTGGAGGGAAAATGGAGGAAAGATGTAATAACATCTTCCTAAGGATGCACAAAAGAGGTTCAAAAAGGGGAAGGGAATGATCTGATCCTTGTGTTCCCACTGGAGGGGACAAGAAATCAAGGGATTGAGTTGCAAGAGCAGAGGCACAATTTAGACACGAGCAAAATCCAGTGCTACAGAAAATTCCTTGCTGGAATATCTTGCCTAGGGGTGGAATCTCCATCCCCGGAGTCCTTTGAGAACAGGTTGGACAAACACTGGCAGGAATGGTTTAGGAAGAGCAAATCTGAACCAGCTCAGCGTTCCTCAACCTTTTCCACAGAAGGACCATCCAACCTTCTGGAAAAGCAGGTGCTGGGTCTCCAACAAATCCCTCCATCAGGGAGAAGATGGCTGGGGAGGGAAGGGGAAATTGCTTCTCCATCCACTTGGCAAAAGAGCCTCGTTGAGTGGAGAATCCCTTCCCACTTTAGTGGAGCACGGGGATGCCTGTGGATCGTAACTCCTGACCTCGGGTCTGTGTGCTGGGCTGGAGATGAGGATTGTGTCCCTTCCCAGTTCCAGGCAGTGTCCCCCAGAAGAGAGGGGCCTCTCTGGGATAAGCTGCAGGCCCAGGGCTGGCCCTGGGTGTCAGGCTTCTCGATTTGTGTGTGTGCACTCAGGGATTAATTGTAAACCGATCCCAGGAGCGGGCCCGAGCAGTGCCAGCACTGATGTCACACCATCCCTGGGGAGACATTGTTTGCCAGGGCTTTGGGAAAGGCCCAGACGAGGGGAAAAGCCGTTCCTGGCTGTGGGGAGAGAAGGTGAAGCGAAGGGAATCCGGTTGGACTGGTTGGGTTGCCGGGATCACAGGCGAGGGGAGGATCTGTGGGGAAAGGCAGCCAAATGTGGGATGGGGACATGCCTGTTAACTGCTGGAAAAGGCACAAATTCCGCCAGCTTAACTCCTTGGCTGCTGCTGGATGCGATGGAGAAGGGGCCGAGTGCTCCTGGCACTGATTTAAACGGAGCTTCCCTGGCACAGGGCGCTGGAAGGAGTCATTCCGTCGGAAAACCCTTGGCGGGATGGAAAGGGTTAAACGGGAGCAAATCCGTCTCCCGGCAAGTGAAGCCCGATTTGTTTTGACTGGTTCACTCGAGCTCTTGATGTGGAAGAGAATGAGCCAGTGACTCCCTTGTCTCTGGAGTTCGGAGGAGGAGAGAAACTTAACTTGGCAAATTGGGGATTGAGGATTGTTTTAATGAGAGGAGGACGTGGATGTGGCTGGGAACGGGGCAGTGTCTGCAGCATTCCTGGGACAGGGAAAGCCTTTTCTATCCAGCTGAGGGGGAGAAGGGGACAGGCAAAACCTCCTCTGGCCCCCTCGATTTTATTTGTGACAGAACCACAGAATATTCCCAGCTGGAAGGGACCCGCAATTTCTCTTTCCAAGCCCCAAATCCCAAGGTCCTGCTTCATTTTTTCCCTGCTAAACATCATTAGAGGTGGAAGTCCTGTGCAAAACAGGGATGAGAGGAAAAGGGGGGTATGCCTTAAATTCCATTTGTGTCTAAAAAGGGGCATTTGGGAGCTTTTTCCTATTTGACTTCTTATCTCTCTGGGACATCAGGAATGCCAATTCCATCCTTCCTTCATTCTGACCTTCTCGAAGGTCTTGCAGAGGGGTTTGCAAGAAAGGGAAGAGCTGTTTACTCCCCGGTGCTGGAATTCATCCAAGTAAAAATACAGCGTGAAACAAAGAGTTCTTCAGGATGATCAGGAGAGAAATCACTTCTCAATTACCTTTCATCCGCACAGGATATTTTAAACTATTATTCTGCCAGAGCATAGATTTGTTGGGGGGAAGAAGAGGGAAAACAATCTGACTTTCTAGTCTGTTTTGTTCTGAAAGGAAAAGGAAGGGACACAGGACATTAAACCATTTACACATAGGAATAAAGAAAACCCTGGGAAAAAGTAATTTTTCTTAATATTTTTAAATTTTAAATTTTAAATTTTGGAGGTCACTTTTAAGCAAGGACTTAAATGTCCCTGAGGTTAAATGCAGAACTGAATGTGGAAATTTGGCTTTGGGAACCAGCCCTGTGAAAAAAGAGGGTGTGTGGTTTGGGGATGGCCAACCTGGAAGAAGGAAGGAAAGAGGGAAAAGCAGCATTCCCCAAGGAGGGGAATTCCACAAACCCTTCAGTTTTCCCTTTGAAAAGAAGGTGAATTTGGGTCAAGGCGGCTCCTGCTGCGCAGGGAAGGAGGATCATCAAATCCCAGGATGGTTTGGGTTGGAAGGGACCTTAAATGCTGTTCAATTCCAACCCCTGCCATGGGCAGGGACATCTTCCACTAGCCCAGGTTGCTCCAATCCCCGTCCAGCCTGGCTTTGGACACTCCCAGGGATCCAGGTGCAGCCACAGCTTCTCTGGGAATTCCATCCTAGCTCCTCTCCACCCTCCCAACCAACAATTCCTTCCCAATCTCTCATCTCTTCTGCCCTCTGGCAGTGGGAAGCCATTCCGTGTGTCCTGTCCCTCCAGCCCTTGTCCCAAGTCCCTCTCCAGCTCTCCTGGAGCCCCTTTAGGCACTGGAAGGGGCTCCAAGCTCTCCCTGGATCCTTCTCCTCTCCAAGTGAACCCCCCCAGCTCTCCCAGCCTGGCTCCAGAGCAGAGGGACTCCAGCCCTCAGAGCACCTGTGACCTCCTCTGGACTGACTCCAGCAGTTCCACATCCTTGTGCTGTTGTGATTCCCAGAGCTGGAGGACAAAGCAGCTGGATTTCCCAGGAAAACAGGCAGGGGGGAAGCTGGAAACCCCCATCCCGCCGTGTGCTGACTGTGCTCTTTCGGTGTAAAACCCTCCCCTCGTCCTGTCACTCCTGCAAACAGGACGAAGCAGCGCTTGTCCAAAACCCACATTTCACCTCAAGGAAAGCCACATTTATCCCTGCCATTCTGCTGCCTGCACTTCCCACTGGGGATTCCTGCTGCTCCTGCCTGCTGGTCCTCTGGCACTTCCTCCCTGCTGGCACTCAGGCGCTGCCCCCGGAGCCAGGACCGCTCCGGCAGGTTTGGAGACGGATTGCAGCGATTGTGGGGATGAGGTCAGGCTGCTCCCAGGAGATTCCTGCTGACAGGGCCCTTTCCATGCCCTGCTATCAACACCGGTGCCACACCAGCCACCGCCACCGGTGCTCCCACCCAGTTGACACCACCTGTGCTCCTGTGCTTCCCTGGGGGCTCAGTTCTTCCTCCAACTGGGTTCATCCCCCTCTTTAGGTACCTGCCAGGAGCATGGAAATGCTGCCAAAGGTCTCTGTGACTGTGCTCCTGGATCTGGACACAATCCTGGACCATCTGGGCACAATCCTGGACCATCTGGACACCATCCTGTGCCACCTGCTCCAGGATGACCCCGCTCGAGCAGGGAGGTGGGACCAGATGACCCACTGTGGTCCTTTCCAACCCGACCCATTCTGTGATTCTGGGATTTTGGGATTCTGGGATTCTCTGCTCTGTGCTGTAGGTTCTCCTTGTGACACACGAGCAGCTCATTTATTTTCTCTTTGCTCCTCTTCTCCGTGGTGGGGATTTCTCTCCTGCGCAGTGGGAATGGGAGAAAAAATACTTCACAAATTGTGAGGCACTCAAATATTGCACTAGTGGGGGGCATGGAAGTGTCAGGAGAGACAAGGAATCAGCAATGAACTCAGGATTTGGGACCTAATCCTCTAAACACCCATCTGAGTCTCCTCCTTCCCATGAGTGAAGCCAAGTCTCTGAGCTGGTCCCAGGAGCAAGGAGTCTTGGAGGCAGGAGTGAGTCCTGGACTGGGCCATCCTGGATCCTTTGAGGGTTATAAATCACACGTTATGTAGCTTCAGAGTTGCTTTTCATGCAGCCTCTCCGTTTGTTCCCAGTTCCTTTGCTCCTGGATGAGTCACCAGAAGCTGCTGCTTGTGCACTTTCCCTGCCCTGAACGTGGGCTTTATTTTAAGGAGTTGAAGCTGTGCTTTTACTCTGAACCTGAAACTCCCTCTTTTCAGTTTGACAAGTGGACAGATGGGCAGAGGAGGAGGATCCTGGTGGACCTGCTGGAACGCTGCTCCCTGGCACAGCAGAAATTCTGCTCCAGGCAGCTCCAGGACCGAATTCCCACCGAGGCCGTGGATTTTACCACGAGGCTTCCTCGAGTCCTGTCCTTGTACATCTTCTCCTTCCTGGACCCACGGAGCCTTTGTCGCTGTGCACAGGTAAAAAAGCCCAACCTGAAATTCAAGGTGGTTAAAAAAAGAGGAAAGCACCAGTTTTTGGTGAAGACACACCAGTGCTGTTCCTCTTAGCACAGAGCTCTGACTTGGCAGCTGCTGCCAAGTGCTGAGTGATGCTTGTTCCTCAGCTCCTAAATTAAGCCAGACTTCCAGCCAAGATTTACAGAAGTGTAGAGTAATTTGAGATGCTAAAGCATTTAAAATGTGGCCCTTTCAAGGCTGGTTATTCCCAAAAAGGAAGCCTGGCACTTTCTGAAAGTCACATTCCTCTAAAGTACCTTGCACTGTGTGCAGAGGCCTTAATTCTTTGGGAAACATCAGTTTGTGCTCTTGCAAAGAACCACTCACAGAAAGAAAAACAGATCCTTTAAAATGCTTCAGGGTCAAGTGTTGGATGTGGAGAAGCTGCGAAGTTACAGGTGTGATTTGGAGCCCAGTGGCTGAGACTCCAAAAACGTATTTGCATGAGAGGAAGTGCTGTGAGATGCTGCCCAAAGTGGTTCTGAATGACAAAATTCAGATACTGGTGACATTATTACTGCACTTACATAATATTCCATGTAATGTCAAGAATATATCAAAATCTCAGCTTGGCTAAACCTTTGCTGTCATATCTTTCTCCAGTGGATGCAGCTCAAACTCTCCATTCACAGGTGGGTTAGGAAATTACTTAGAATCATGGAATATCCTGAGTTGGAAGGGTCCCATGTCAGGAAGACCTTGAATGGTTTAAATGGTTTAAACAAGGGTTTAAATGGTTTAATCAAGGGTTTAAATGGTTTAACCAAAGGTTTAAATGGAGCATTAACATTGCTGAGGAATTGGTTTAAGGACCCAGGGGAATTACACCCCCAGCACGGGAGTCTGTAGCTGGAATTTTGGATGCTTGAAACCCCGAGGTGTTTTCAGCTTTCAACTGGGCATTCCCAGGTGAGCTGGTACTGGAAGTACCTGTCTGAGCTGGATCAGCTCTGGATGCTGAAGTGTCTCCGTTTTGGCTGGTACATCAACTTCTGCCCAACGCCCTTCGAGCAGGGAATCTGGAAGAGGCATTACATTGAGATGGTGAGAGAGCTGTGGATCACCAGGCCAAAGGTACGTGTCCAGCACCTCTAGAGTGGGACAACTGGGTGGTCTGGTTCCTGACCCTTTTCCCTCCGTGTATTTTTGTGATTTTCCTGCCCTGAGTTCAAACCTCAGCCCTGGAGTTTTAAAGGATGGAGTTTAAGCAAACTCCCTCTGTAGTCAAGAGGGAGAAGCCAGTGCATCTCAACAGCAGCTCATCCTAGTGTAGGTTATGGGACATGGGACAAGCACTGTCAGGGGCCTGTTTCCCTCCACAGTCCTTAATGGATCTTGGGAAAACTAACGTCGATTCCCAATTATGATAAGTCTAAAATTGGGCTGATCTCACTAAGACTTATTTTCCTCTCTGCACCTCTCCTCCCAGCCTCTTCCCAAGGAGGAATTCACCGTTGTCGACGTGCAACCCATCGGAAAAGACGCCCCGGAGGCAAAACTTCCCATGCACGGAAGGAGGAGAACCAAGGAGAAGAAAGAGCTCCCCCCTTGGCGCTCATCCGACAGACACCCCACGGACACCGTCCGCTACAACTACCTGGACAACTGGGACCCCATCGAGCAGGCGAGGCAGGCGTAAGGGCTCCCTCTCTTCCGCTTTCTCTGGGACACGGGATGTGTTTTCCAGCTCTTTTGGCTGGTTTTGGGGTGGGTCTCGGTCCGGTTGTAGTTGGAGCTGTGCTGCTTTGTGTCTGTTGCGTCCGCTGTGTCCTTCCAGGAGCAGCTCGTTGGAGGCTGTGAGTCCTGGGGAATGTGATGGGAGCTGCAACGGGAGAATCAGGTGTGAGCTCATGGGCTCAGCCAGGGGTTTGACTTAAAAATATATGGATATCATAGAATCACAGAATCAGCTGGGTTGGAAGGGACCTCCGAGATCATCAAGTCCAACCCTTGATCCACTACTGCTGCAGTTGCTGGACCATGGTGCTGAGCCCCACATCCAGTCTTATCTTAAAAACCTCCAGGGACGGAGAATCCACCACTTCCCTGGGCAGCCCATTCCAATGTCTGATCACCCTCTCTGTAAAGAAATTCTTTCTAATATCCAACCTAAACCTCCCCTGGCACAGCTTGAGACCATGCCCTCTTGTCTTGCTGAGAGTTGCCTGGGAGAAGAGACCAACCTCCACCTGGCTACAACCTCCTGTCAGGGAGTTGTAGAGAGTGAGGAGGTCTCCCCTGAGCCTCCTCTTCTTCAGGCTGAACAGCCCCAGCTCCCTCAGCCTCTCCTCATGGGAATTGTGCTGCAGTCCCTTCACCAGCCTCGTTGCTCTTCTCTGGACCTGCTCCAGCACCTCAATGTCCTTCCTGAGCTGAGGAGCCCAGAACTGGACACAGCACTCGAGGTGTGGCCTCACCAGCGCTGAGTACAGGGGAAGAATCACTTCCCTGGACCTGTTGGCCACACTGTTCCTGATCCAGGCCAGGATCCATTGGCCTTCTTGGCCACCTGGGCACACTCTGGCTCATGTTCAGCTTCTTGTCAATCCAAACTCAGGTCCCTCTCTGCCTGGCTGCTCTCCAGCCACTCTGTGCCCAGCCTGTAGCGCTGCAGGGGGTTGTTGTGGCCAAAGTGCAGGACCCGGCCCTTGGCCTTGTGGAACCTCATCCCGTTGGAATCAGCCCAACTCTCCAACCTATCCAGGTCCCTCTGCAGAGCCCTCCTGCCTTCCAGCTGATCGACACTCCCCCTCAGCTTGGTGTCATCTGCAAATTTGCTGATGATGGACTCAATCCCCTCATCTAAATCATCAACAAAGATATTAAACAGAACTGGGCCCAACGCTGATCCCTGGGGGACACCACTAGTGACCGGTGTTTTAATACCTGGAGATGGCACAAAGAGAATCAGCCACGGGCTTGTTCCCAAGAGGGGATAATTATTGATAATTTAGGGGAGAAAATAAGGGAACTTGGCAAAAGTTCAAAAGGGCACCACACGAGCCGGACAAAAATGTTCCGCCCCAACACTGAGCCAGCACAGACTAATCCAAGAGACCTGAGTCAGATTCCAACCCCTTCACAACACCAGAGTTAAAATCCAACCCCTCCAGCTCCAAGGAACCCAAAGCATCAGGAAAGGAGCACAGGAAGAGAAGCAGAGGGAGCAAGAAGAGAGGAGGAGAAAGAGGGAGAGACAGATTATGGAGCTGCCACTGGGACCTCGGGGAAGACCAGGGGCTGCAGGAGCTGTGGGGTGTTATAGGGCAGTGTCCTCACTGTCCCCATAGGAGCTGTGGGGTGTTATAGGGCAATGTCCTCACTGTCCCCATATGAGCTGTGGGGTGTTATAGGGCAGTGTCCTCACTGTCCCTATGAGCTGTGGGGTGTTATAGGGCAGTGTCCTCACTGTCCCCATAGGAGCTGTAGGGTGTTATAGGGCAGTGTCCTCACTGTCCCCATATGAGCTGTGGGGTGTTATAGGGCAGTGTCCTCACTGTCCCCATATCAGCTGTGGGGTGTTATAGTGCAGTGTCCTCACTGTCCCCATAGGAGCTGTGGGGTGTTACAGGGCAGTGTCCTCACTGTCCCTGTGAGCTGTGGGGTGTTATAGGGCAGTGTCCTCACTATCCCTGTGAGAGGCTGCAGGAGCTGTGGGGTGTTACAGTTTTCCCAGGCTGTTTGTGACTGGCAGCTACTCTGGGAATCCCCCATGAGCTTCCAGGGGCTGCCATGAGGGACACGACCCCACCCCATCTCTCTTAGGTCCCACCCATCCCTTCCCCCTCCACACACACCCACACCCACCCCACAAGGTGGTTCTGACCCAGCAGTCACTGATCTGGTGTCTGACATTAGGGCAAGAGTTTGCTGAAGGCTTTCTAAATAAAGCTGCAAAGTTGAGAGGAATCTGCAGTTTTTGCACAGAAGGATGAATTAATTGTGATGGAACAGAATTCCACCACTTCAGGGATCTTCTGGCTGCAAAGAGGATTTGGTGATCGAGCTGTGGGGCAGGTGAAAGAGGATATGTGAACTATTGAACATTTAAGTAAAGAATAGTGTCTGTGCTACACTGCCTGGATCCATCAGTTCCTGGGCTCCTGGGATGACCTGGTCAGGCACTGGGAAAAGGAAAGGCATTTCCACCCCAGAGCAGAGTTTTGCACATCCGTCTGTGTCAGGACAGCCCCACGTTTTCCTTTCCGTCAGAGATTTTCCAAATCTTAGGTCTGTGCTCACGTTCCTGCGCTTTAACAAGCAGCAGCAGGAGCAACGGGGAGGCTGCAGGAGCCACCTGTGGGAAGTGTTTTCCCATTTCTTGTTCAAGTCCCTGTTAGTGCCACCTCTGATGTTTCCCGGGCTCGGGGCAGCCGATGGGAAACGCTGACACTGCCACGGATCCGAGCCCAGGGAACAGGAGATGGATCAGCCTGACCATTGCCCGGTTCCTGTGGGAATCCCTGTGGAAAGGGCTGCCCAGACACAACTGAATGTGCAGAGAGCAGGAGATTCCTCCTCCCCGTGCCAACAAAAACCTTGGGAACCAACCAAGCCCCAGTGAAAGCGCCCGGATTGTGTTAAAGTAAATAACTGATAGAGCCAAGATTATCCCCGTGCACAGGAACAATCAGCCCGTGAATTACCCCAGCCAGGGATTATTTGGCAGTTGAGCTCCTGTGCAGCTCTTTCCCAATGTGATTAACTCTGCTGGACCCACCACTCCTCCGGGCTGTTCCACAGCGTTCCCGGTGCCGGAGTAAAAGCCTTTTATGAATCACATTTTAATCCGCGTCCCCTGGTCCTTGGGTATTGCACTACTTCAAAGAGCTTCCCAGTTTCCACCTCACCCTCTTTCTGTGGTGTGTTTCCAAACTCCAGCACCGCTTTTGGGCCGAGTTCTTTGAGGCTTTACACTAAATGTTTGGACGAAACTCCTCCTGCCGCAAACAAATGTCCCGACATTATTTTCCTGAATAAAAAAGTTGTTCTAAACGTCTTTTTGGGCAGCAGCTCCCAAAGGTTTCTGTGAGGTTTAGGGTTCTCCTGTGCTGGCCGTGAAAAAATGTGGAAAGAGTTGAAAAAAGTTGAAAAGTCATTTTTTTTTCCCAGCGTGGAGCCGTAGATGCAGCCGAGAACCAAATGCAAACAATTCCGAGTTGGTAATGACACAGCCAACCCACTCCCTGTGTTCTCCTCCTAAGTGAGAGCTGAGCCTCTCTCCATTTGTGCAATGTTCCAGCAAATCTGGCATTTATCCTCAATTATGGAGGATTATTGCAGGGAGAGAGAGGAATTCTGTGAGATTTGCTTGTTTATCGAGGATCTGCCTTTAATATCACCTAAGCTGGAGGTAATTGCTGCTGCCTGGGCTCCTCTGCAATGATTATTCAGCAGCACAGGTGCAGCATTTCAGGTGCTGACCCAGCTTCCCGCTCACACAATGATGTTTGGTGCTTCTTTTCCATGGATACGGCGCCACCTGAGTCCCTTCTGCTGCCCCGTCCCAGAAATCCTCCCGGAAAGGCTCTTTATGGTGTTCCCTGCCCTTTGGTCAGGGTGTCCCTCTGGGGAGTGCCAAGCTTTGTTCTGAACAACCCACGGACCCCAAACTGTGCCCAGGTCTAGCTGGCTGAGCTTGGAATCTCCCGGGAATGCTGTGCAAGCTGCTCCACCCCCTGTGCACCCTCCAGGCCCGGGCAGACCCTGCCCTGACCGAGGGAGAACAGAAACCCGGGATAACAATCTCCGCCCCCCCGGGCGGTGTCAGGTGCGGGTTGTTCCTCAGATTAGATGGATTCTCGGAGCTCAAGGGCACGACAACCACCCCTCATGTAAAATGGATGTCAGAGGTAACGAAACCTGTGTAAAATGAGACGCTAAAACAATTTCCCAGGGTTTGCCAAAGGGAGTCTGGGAGAGGAAACGGGATTTGCTGCAGCCCTGGGTGAAGATAGAGAGGAAGGAGGGTTTTCTTGAGGTCACGGGAATGTGTGAGGGGACGTGGCAGGACTTGCAGGAAAGCAGGAGAGAGACAAAATGATGGCAGAGAAGGAATGACGGGAGAGAGCACTCGGAGGGTGGAAACCTGAGAGCCAACAAACCACTGGTGTTGTGCTGTGCCGAGGAAAAGCGGACTCGGAGGGAGCTCCGTGAGCAAACAAGGATCACATCAAAGGGATTCCTGACGCCGCCATCAAAGCAAGGTGTGAGGCCGGTCACTGGATCAAAGTTAATCCACCTAATTTCAGGGTAAATTGTGCAGAATTTAGGAGGTAATGAAAAAAAATCCAGTTTTTCGTCACTCTTGGAGCTGGTTAAAATGTCCCCGGAGCTCAGGCTCGCTCTGCATCGGGTTTCTGGTCCAGGGAGAGGGGAGGACTCTGCTGGTCATCAAGTCATGGGGTCACTGCTGGAATATTGGCTTTTAATGGAAGAGTTTGTGGAATCTCAGAATGGTTTGGGTGGGAAGGGATCTTAAAGCTCATCCAGTTCCAATTCCCTGCCACAGGCAGGGACACCTCCCACTATCCCAGGTTGCTCCAAGGGAATCCAGCCTGGCTTTGGACACTTCCAGGGATTAAAGGGCAGCCACAGCTTCTCGGGGCAACCTGTGCCAGGGCCTCACCACCCTCACAGGGAAGAATTCCTTCCCAATCTCCCATCTCTCCCTGCCCTCTGCCAGTGGGAAGCCATTTCCTGTGTCCTGTCCTCCATCCCTTGTCCCAAGTCCCTCTCCAGCTCTCCTGGAGCCCCTTTAGGCTCTGGAAGGGGCTCCAAGCTCTCCCTAGATCCTTCTTTTCTCCAGGTGTCCTCATGAATCCAGCATGGGAAGGGAATTTAAAGATCATCTTGTTCCACGGAATCACAGAATGGTTTGAGTTGGAAAGGACCTTAAAACTCATCCAGTTCCATGGGCAGGGACACTTCCCACTATCCCAGGTTGCTCCAAGCCCCGTCCAACCTGGCCTTGGACACTTCCAGGGATGGGGCAGCCACAGCTTCTCTGGGAATTCCATGCCAGCCCCTCTCCACCCTCTCAGCCAAGAATTCCATCCTAATGTCTCCTCTAAATCTCTCCTCTTTCAGTTTAAAACTGTTCCCCCTTGTCCCATCCCTGTCTGCCCTCGTGAAATGTCACTTCTTGCCATCCGTGATGACAAAGATGTGTCATCCCTTTCTTCATCGTCCTTTTGGGACGAGTCTTTCTCTACGTGGTCCCTTCCACAGCAGCATCAAAAACAGCTCTGCTGAGAATTCCCAGCGCAGAACTTCTCCCTGCTCAGCCAGAAAAAAAAGTGGAACACGGGAAGCGTAACAAGCTACAGTGAATTCTCGATTACACAGGGGAGTGGAGATGAAGGGAGTCCTATAAATGGTAACACAAGACATATTCTTCGGGCTATAAAACCATAATTGGCCATTTAGCTTTGAAAAATAAATCAGTAGGTTTCTGGGGAGCAGCTGGGGGAGGGTTTGGCCTGGATTGCGCTGGTGCTTCATGTCACTGGGGAGAGGAACCATCAAACTGTCCCAGAAAGTGGCAGAAAGGTGTTCATCTGCAATCTGGGTGATAATTGAAACCTATTTTTTTTTCTTTTCCGATGGATTTCTTGGCTTCTTGCTCAGCAAGTAACGAACCCGTGCTCTAAAAACTGAGTGGCAGCAACCACTGAAGGAGATTCCGTGGAGTGAAGGAGATGGGACAGAGATCCCCCAGAATGTTCTCTGGGAGGTTGGTGGGTTGGGCTGGGACAGGGTGGGAGAAGCTTTGCAGTCCCTGGGCGGTGAAATTAAGAAGAGCAATGATCAGCTGCACAGCCCAGGGAGTGGTGAGGTGGTAGGGAAGAGACCCAGCCAGGGCTTGGATTACAAATTGCCTGGAAGGGGTTATCAAAATCCCTCAGCTGAGTTTTGGCCGTGACTGTCGGTGTCATATTTTGTCACAGGGGTGGTTTCTGGTAGGTCTGGTTTGTTTTCTGCCCTTATTGTCCCAGTAGCTTTTTGTTATATCCCCCCCAAAAAAACCAAACAAACTCTCCCAGAGATCAGGAAGGATTTGTCTCTTTGGGCACAAAGAAACATTGCAAAGGGGAAGTGATAGATTTTTATCTCAAGTGTGGAAACGAGTGAGGAAATCTTCCTGTGGGACTCTGACCTGCCCCCAAGGGACCAGGAGGGGCCTTTGGGTCCCGGTTCTGCTGGGAGGCATCTGCTGCTTGTGCTGCCAATAAATCAAAAGATTTGCCTCCCACTTCAGCATGAATAATGGATTCCAATTCCAGCCCTGCCCTGGATGCCTGCCAGGATCATGTCCTTGTGCCTCGAGGAAGGGCCCTGCTACCTCTCATGGCAACAGCTCGGCCCCAAATGCGACCTCCTTCCCCCCACCTCTCCCGGCCAGCTCAGGCTTCTGGAAGGCAGCACTAATTCAGTGGGATAATTTATGGACGTAGGCTGGCTCTAAAACACAGTTGCATATTGTCCTGGGGTGTTTACCCAACGGGAAAATAATTACTTTCAGTTAATTGTTCTGTCGGCAGCCCTGACAAAGAGGGGCTCGCTCGCGTGAGAAGGACGTGCTGTATCCCTGCCCTTCGGAATCCCAACGCTTGGCTCCCGCTTGTCACGTTCTGGAATGTCCAGCCCAGTTCTCTGGGCCCGCTGGGCTTGTGGGAGTGAAAAATATTCCTTATGGGAAATGGAAATGGGAGGAAAACGGGGTGAGAATCAGCGAGTTCAGGGCTGGCAGCGAGAGACCTGCCGTTCTCATCCAGGCTCTGACGCCCTGGAGAAACTCATCCTCACTCCCTACGTTTTCCAGACCTTGAAATGGGATCGTGGTGGGGACCTGCTGCAGGAGGACACCCTGACACTATGGGGATGGACACCAGAATGCAGCAGGAGAGGTTGATATCCTCATTTTCAGCCACAAGGCCGGGTCTCCTTTCTATCTAAAGGTCACAGGATCCTTTAGGATGGAAAAGACCCTTAAGATCGAATCCAACCATCAGGCCCACCAGGATGACCAGTTTGCTCCCAGTTGGAATATTCTGGATTGAATTTTCTCCCTTGGCTGTCAGTGTTTATAAACAGAGTGCAGTTTGCCTCCATTTCCTCTTTGATTTAATGTTGGATTGGATTTTATGGCTCTGGACCTGCAGCCGGGCTGGGATGAGGGATGAGGGAATACCAGGCACGTGCTGCTCTTGGCTGCTTTGGGCAGGTGTGTGTTGGGTGGGGGGATCCTGCTCCTTTACAGAAGAAATGGGGCTTTCTGAGTCTTTCCACCCTTTACATCCATGGTTTTGGACTCCTCCTGTGCTTTTCAGCCTTCCTTCCAGGAGCCCAGAGGCACTGGGAGACACCCTCGGGCTTGCTGCTTGAAATTCCCGAATCCTGTCTTGTGGGATTGGAATGTGGTCGGGGAATGAGCCCCTTCAGAGGGGCTGATGGACCTGCCTGAGTTCTTCAAAGACCTTCCCCACAGTCTGGATTTTACTCCTGAGAGTGGAAAAACGTGCCAGCTGGACATATCCCAGTGTGATTCCCTGAATTTTCACACTGGAATATTCCTGTTCTGCCACTTCACTGTATTGACATTTTACTCCAGTATTGGAAAATTGTGGCAGCTGGTCATATCTCAGTGTGATTCCCTGAATTTTCACACTGGAATATTCCCGTCCTGACACTTAATTGTATTAACTTTAATAACAGCGGCATAGAAATGTCTAAATTGATAAATTTAGGTACATCTACAAGCCCTATGTGAGCTCCAGAAGAGTTTGGACAACGCTCTCAGGGCCATGGTGGGATTCTGGGAATGTCCTGTGCAGGGCCAGGGATTGGACTGGATGATCCTTGTGGGTCCCTTCCAGCTCAGGATGTTCTGTGATTCTATGATTTTATATATTTGTATATTTAGGTATTTTAGATATCTTTATATTTAATATGTAATTATATATAATTGAATATAATTATATAGTTATATATAATAATATGCATCATTATATAATGTATATTTACATGTATTTATATATTTAACGTGGGTTTTAAAATTTATATATTTATATATTTGGCTATAAAAACAGTGAATAAACACCTTGATGGAGGGGCAGCCCCCCCCAGCCTGTTTTAGTCTACAAATTACACTGATTTCACTGAAAACTCTCAAATTGATTGAGTTAAACTCCTTGAGTGTGAATTTCCCTGTAACATGTTATCTGGATTTTGCCTAAATCAGGAAGTTTGGAGTGTTCTGAGTGCTAGAAAGTTCTCATAACTTAAAAAACCGCTTATCATAAATTAAAAAGACCCCACCAGTCTGAGCCCAGAATGTGATTTGTGCTCTCTTGGGCTGCCCCAGGTGGGATCAAACGTGAGCTCTTAAATTGTGGCTTTTCACGTGGCAACAGCACGAGGGATTTTCCTTTTCCTCAATCCCGGGGAAGCAATTCCAGAGCATTTATTAATCCTGTTGTGTTGGACTCTGCAGGAGAAGGAAGGGAGGAGGGGAGACCCCAGACCTGAGCCGACAGGCAGCCGAGAGGAAAAGGAGAGCGGGACGTGCATCCAACCAGCTCCGGAAGGAGAAATCCCTGGCAAGTATCTCCAGCCTGGAATTGGATCAACTGTCTCCATGTCATGCACTCCCAGGAATATTTGAGCTCCAAGTTTTCACTTAGGGAAGTGCTCCTGATGTAAAATCATGGAATTATAGAATATCCCGAGTGGGAAGGACCCACAAGGATCATCCAGTCCAACTCCTGGCCCTGCACAGGACATTCCCAGAATCCCACCATGGCCCTGAGAGCGTTGTCCAAACTCTTCTGGAGCTCACACAGGGCTTGTAGATGTACCTAAATTTATCAATTTAGACATTTCTATGCCGCTGTTATTAAAGTCAATCCAATTTACTGGCACGACAGGAATATTCCAGTGTGAAAATTCAGGGAATCCCACTGGCATATGTCCAGCTGGCACATTTTTCCACTCTCAGGAGTAAAATCCAGACTGTGGGGAAGGTCTTTGAAGAACTCAGTCAGGTCCAGCCGCCCCTCTGAAGGGGCTCATTCCCCCTTCCACATTCCAATCCCACAAGACAGGATTAGGGAATTTCAAGCAGTAAGGCCGAGGGTGTCTCCCAGTGCCTCTGGGCTCCTGGAAGGAAGGCTGAAAAGCACAGGAGGAGTCCAAAATCATGGATGTAAAGGGTGGAAAGACTCAGAAAGCCCCACTTCTCCTGTAAAGGAGCAGGATCCCCCCACCCAACACACACCTGCCCAAAGCAGCCAAGAGCAGCACGTGCCTGGTATTCCCTCATCCCTCATCCCAGCCCAGCTGCAGGTCCAGAGCCATAAAATCCAATCCAACATTAAATCAAAGAGGAAATGGAGGCAAACTGTTTATAAATATATATTTATAAATCATCAAGGGGGACCTGCCGTGGGTGAGGAAGGGACAGCGACTGTCGGCATGGGGACAGTGACCTTGTTCCCTGCCCCTCCCTCCCTCTGCTCAGGCTCCATTTCCACGCTTTCCACACAGCCCTGGCACAATTCCCTCGGGGCACATCCCTTCCCAAAAGCTTCCCTGCTTTGCCCACAGCTCCCGATGGCTGCGGTTTGTCGCTGGGTTGTCGCCGAGCTGAGCCCGAGCGAAGCTCTGGCACTGAGGCTTCTTTGTGCTCCGGGCTGCAAAAATAGGGCATCCCCTCCATCAGAGGAGCCTCGGGAAGTTCGGCTTTTAGAAAACTCCATGGGGTCGGTTTTTTTGTGGATGTGGCAACGAATAACTGCCGGAAGAGGGATGTGCTCACGGGCGTGTCGGGGGCTTTCGGGAAGCAGACCTGGGAATGTGTTTTTCCACGAAAGCCAGGGAAGGGGTTGGAGGTTTTGCATAAAAGACAGGCATTGTCTCCAGGAATGGGGAGGCTCCTCCCGACCCAAATACGGCCTGTTTGCAAGGAAAAGGATTCAGTCGCTGTTAAATGATGTAAATAATGATGATTGTAATTATTCAGCCCTTGTCTTACAGTTTCCACTCTCCAATGGTTCCCTCTGATCCGAGCGTCCCTCCACGGATTCATTCCACCGCATCTCTCCCTTTCACATTTAAAGCTGTTTCGTTGTCAGTCCCGAAGAGAAAAAAAAAATCTCAGTTCAGGCCTAAAATACGTTAATTTGATTCTTTCCCCCCAGATTTTACCAAAGTTATTGCTCTTCAAAGTTAATGAACCTGAGCAGGAAGGCACAAGCACCTTGGGCTGGAATTCCAAAGGCTTCTGTTCCTCCTGGTTTTAGAGTTATCCACGTTCCAGTAGGAGAGCTGTGCTTTTTATTCTCACACAAAACCTCCTTTAATGACAACAGCACCATGAGACAATAAAGCTGAGGTTACACCAGGCTGGTGCATAGAAAAAGAAAATAAATATATATATAAATATAATTCGCCAGGAATAATGCAAAATTAATTTCCATTTGTTATTAAAGCAGCATTGGAAAACCTTGCTGAAATGAAGACCTTTGAAAAGGCTCTTATTTAATCAAGTCCAAATAAAGAGGCTTAATGTGCAAATCTTTCAGTAAATCCTTAGAAGAAAAAAAAGAGACCATGATGAAAGAATAAGTGCCCAAGGCAGGCAAACATCAAGTCAAATTAAAAGGCAGCCCTTGAATAGATCAGTGATTCAAGTGCAGAAAGTAGGTGAGAATAAAGTGAATTACAGCCAATAATAAAGATGGAAAAAGGGTTATTAGAGGGAGCTCCCGGCTCAGGAGGCAACAACACACCAAAGTGGAATAAAAACACCTAATGAAGGTGATGACCCAAGTCCTGGAATTGCATCCACCGGCTCCACATTTGCATGGGGTGAATCAGTTCTCCCCTGGAAAACCTGGGAGGTTTTGGAGTTTATTAGTGATCGTGGAAAGCACAGAGTGCGACCACTTCATTTAGAATAAATTAAAGTAAATTAGCTCAATTACAAGGCGTAGTAAATTGCGATGGATTAAGTTAATTAAGGCTGTGAATGAATTAGGGCCACGTTCCTTCCTAGGGATGCACAGGAACCCCCCCATGTCTCTGCAGTGGGGAGAGAATCGATGTTTGGAGTGAAAATCACATTTATAATGGACAGAAGATGAAGGTCCAGGGCTCCCAGCACCTACACATGGTCCTGCCCAATGTACATTTACCTTCTGCAAACCCTATTTTGAATTTTATTTACTCAACATGATAATGTTTGTTCACTGTTCTTGCCAAACAATTTGTATCAGCCCGAAAAACCCAAGTTGTTGGTCTGAATAACCTGTGGGGTTTTTTGAATCTTTGGGGATCTTCCTCAAGGAATAAACTGTGATATTAAGATTTTTTAATTTTTATTATTATTATTATTTTTTGTTGAATTTTGATCTTCTGTTAAAATAGATTTCATCCTTTACACTGAGACACTTCCAGACACCAAGCAAGGCTGGGATCAGTCACAGCCACGAGCACGGGAAGGGGGGGGGAGAAATCGGGGAATTAACATCTGGATTGCTGCAGAGAATTAATTAATTAATTAATGTGGGTTCAGCTTTACTGGCATCACTTTCTGAGGTCTTTTTGTCCTCAAGGTAAACTTAATCCCACAGCACAGGACACTGCAAGTGCTCATATCATCTAGGGATAAAATGTACAGAATGTGTAGAATTTATGGAAGTTCTCAGTGGATTCCAAGCTTTCCAGTCCCTCTGAAGCTGTTGGGATGTTGATGTTGTCTTCTCTTCCCAGACGTGGCTCCCTGCAGATCCTGAGTGTCTTCCAAAGCCGCCAGCTCGTCCCAGCTGGGCCGCCCATCGCTCCGCTGGGAACCTGCCCCCCAAGGCAGCGGCAAAGGCCCTGGCCCAGAGCTCCCAGTGGAACGCCGGGATACGACCGGCACCCGTCCGAGCTCCGAGACCAAAGCCACGTGGGAGAGGGACTGGAGATGTCACCAGGATGGAGAGCAGAGCTCCATGTCAGTAAGATGTCCTGTCCCATGGGGAGGCTGTTCTAGAGCCTGGCAATATCCAGATCGTGGAATCATGGAATGGTTTGGGTGGGAAGGGACCTTAAAGACCATCTTGTTCCAGCCCCCTGCCATGGGCAGGGACACCTTCAATTATCCCAGGTTGCTCCAACCTGGCCTTGGACACTCCCAGGGATCCAGGGGCAGCCACAGCTTCTCTGAGCAACCTGTGCTAGGGCCTCACCACCCTCCCAGCCAGGAATTCCTTCCCAATCTCCCATCTCTCCCTGCCCTCTGGCAGTGGGAAGCCATTCCCTGTGTCCTGTCCCTCCAGCCCTTGTCCCAAGTCCCTCTCCAGCTCTTCTGGAGCCCCTTTAGGCACTGGAAGGGGCTCCAAGGTCTCCCTGGATCCTTCTCTTCTCCAGGTGAACCCCCCCCCCAGCTCTCCCAGCCTGGCTCCAGAGCAGAGGGGCTCCAGCCCTTGGAGCATCTCCAGGGCCTCCTCTGGACTCTCTCCAGCAGCTCCACATCCCTCTGCTGTTGTTCCCAGAGCTGGAGGCAGCTCTGCAGGGGGGTCTCACCTGCGGGGACAGAGGGGCAGAATCCCCCCTCCCCTGGTGTGGGATCAGCCCAGGACACGGGGGGTTTCTGGGCTGGAGCTTGTTGAGCTTTTCATCCACCATCACCCCCAGGTCCTTGTCCTCAGGGATCCTCTCAATCCTTTCATCCCCCAGCCCGTGTCTGTGCTTGGGATCCAGCAATCCCGCTGTCCTTGTCACCAGCAGAGCTGTTACATTTAGAGCCCAGAGGGAAGGAGGTGACACTGGCTGGGTGTTTCTGTGGGGGAAGGACAGGGATGGTGGGAATGCAGATGATGGGGATTTGCTGCATCGGAAGAGAACTTATGGCCAGAGATGTCACATCCAGCACTTCCCAAACCCACCTGTCCCAGCTGTCATCTTGGAATGAACACTGGCACGGGCCCCACACGGGTTTAACTCACCAACACTGCCCGGCAGAGCAAGAGATGTGGCCGTGGGCTCCATCCAAAGTCCAGGGACTCTGCCAGGTCCTGGAAAGAATCCAGGAGGAGCTGGTGTGGTTGGGTTGGAACCAGAGCCCTCAGCAAATTCCAGCCCAGAGCAGTGAACTCCAGGCAGAGAACAGCTGAGGAAGCAGCTGATTCAGAAATGCCTCCCAAAAATAAGGGGGCGGAATGACACCATCCCAAAGAATCTCGTGCCGTTTCAGTCTGGGCTTGGCTTGGGAAGCTCTCCATGTCTCCCCAAGGTCCTCAGTGTCTGCAGCCCCCTGGGAAAGTCTTTTGGGTACCTTTGAGGAGCACCAACACTTGTGCAGGTTTTGGTGAAAGTCCTCTCGGTTCACAAGTGGGTTTTAACGGCTTAATTATGGCTTTAGTCCATAAGGATTAAAATCTGTGACCCCTGAGGGTTTTCGGTTGTGCAAGAAGGATGAAGAACCTGGAGGGAGCAATGGAAAATAGGATTCTGATGGGACACTGTTAAGATTTTCAGGGAGATCACAGCGGTGGAATGGGCAGAGCTCCTACAAGGCAACAATTGTCCAGTAATTATTGGTGATCCCATCTAGAAGGGAGATGATGGAACACGTGGAAAGCTCCGGCATCCCTCTGGGTCTCCCTGGAATCCTGCATTTTTAGCAGGTCCATAGGCTGATCTCCATGAGGAGGAAGTGAGTGATCACAAATCCTCCTGTGGGAGATGAAAGGATCTAGACACAGCTGAAGGGGAAAGCACTGGGATGAGAAAGATTGGATTGGATATAGGATTGGATATTGGGAACAATTCCTTCATGGAAAGGGTTTTCCAGATGTGGCACAGCTGCCTGGGGCAGTGGTGGATTCCCATCCCTGGAGGGATTTAAAATCCCTGTGGATGTGGCACTTGGGGACCTTGGTTAGTGATGGCCTTGGAAGTGCTCAGGGAACGGTTAAACTCGATCTTGGAGTGGTTTTCCAACCTAAATAATTCCATGATTCCATGAATGAGGCCTAAGGAAAACGCACAAAGACTTCTCCATGTGGGAAGTGGGACATAAACGCATCCTGGCCATAAAAGCATCAGGATCAGGCCAGAGGGTCACAGTCCCTCCCTGTGCTAAAGCCATACAAGGTTCCTACAAAAGAGGACCCTCATCCTGGAATTCCATCACCTGGACAGAGCTGTGGGAATGTTGTGAGCTGGATTAGGACCAAGTCATCCAGAGTTAAGGGCAGGCTCTGGGCCTTGGATATGGTGTTGACAGTTCCAGTCAATCCAGGGAATTCTGCTGGTCTGGCAGCAGGGTTGGGGCGGCTTCCCAGGAATGCATCACTCGGCTCCAGAGGGAATTGGAATGGGAAGAAGGTGTTTGAGTGTCTGAGCTTCTGGGAACCAAACTGCAGGTGCTGCTGAGAGGGGGTTAGTGCTGGCAGAGAGGATGTGGGAGCACAGGGAATTCCTGCAGGGATGTGGCCACCCAGTGACTGTTACTGGTGCCAGAAAGGTGGAGGGAACTGGTGCCTGCCGGGATGTGCCGCGTCCGGCCTCGGCTGCAGCTGAATTCCCTCTGCGTGGCAGGGAATTCTGTGTGTGAGGAAAGGGTTAGTGGGGAAGCAAACTCCTTACAAACACCACTGTGGTAAAAAAATCCCAAGGAAATGATCCCTGAGGGATTGCATTTGGATGAGGTGCAATTTGCAAGGCAAAACTATGTAATTTTTTTTTTTTAATATCAGAGAGAGACAAATCCCATTTTAATTCCTTCGGTGACCTCTCCAGGACCTTTGTGAACTCTGCCAGGCTTTTCCCAAGGTAAACTCTACCTGGGCTTTGCCAGGGAATGTCTGCAGATCGCCAGGAAGTGGCAGGAAAAGTCAAGATGTTTTGATTGATGCTGATTTTCTCTATAATGAGATGACGGAGGGAAATAATCCAGATTTGTAAAGGTATTTGAGGTATTAAATGCCACCAAAATCCCAAGGATTGGCTGAGCACCTAAACAGGTTTAGAATGTGAATTCTCTGCCTGAGTTAATCTGATCCCGACATTATTTCTCCTCCCTCCAGCATCTCCAGTGTTCGAGGCTCAGCCCTGGCACATTCCTACATCCAGCCAAGGATCCAACTCGGAATGAGGGAGGATCCAGAGTGTCCTTCATCCAAGCTGGACAGAAACTTCTCTGCCTGGTAGTGGGAAAACAAAATGTTGCTGCTGGTCTTTGGGATCTCAACCTGGTTTCCCGTTGCTGGTGCTTTATCCTCTTTTCCTTCTGGATGTGTCACCTCTGAAATGTTCACTTGGAATTTTGACCATGGAGACACTTGCTTGGATCCTTTCTAGGGCTGCTGGACCTCCTGTGAGCTTTTCTATGGATCATTTGGACAAATCTTAGGGCACATCCCACGGTCTGAGCTGCTCTGTGATGCTTTGCCAGGGAATCGCAGGAGTTGTCTGGGCACCAATGGGATTCTGAAAGATGAGGGATGACTTCCAGCCACTGGGAATTATGGAAATTCTACCCTCCCTACAAATGGAGTGCTTTACCACCAGCGCATCCTTCAGCTGCGACCTCCGGCTCCTGCCAAATCAGCTGGAAAGCACCAGGCTGGGCAAGGGAAGAGCGTGGAAGAAAGGAGAATCAAGGAAAACGCTCCAAGAAAAAGCCGGTTAGGGCTGTGCTGGAAACAGAATTTCTCTCCCTCATGTTGAACAAGGCAAATCCATCTTTTCAATCATGTTAGTGAGAAGGAAATCAATTCCCACATTCTGGATTGCAGCACACGGATCTGTGTGGGGAGCTGGCACTTGTTATTTAGGAGGATGTAAATCAGGGACTGTTACTGGGATTTTTCTGGGATTAAGGAATTTCCCAGTAAATTCAACAAATAGCAATTTTTAAGGATAAGGGGATTGAATGCTCAGCAACTGTAACTCCTTGCCTGGTCATATCCCAGAGCAAGAGAGCTGGGATAAAACTGAACCTTTCCGGGTGTTGGGAAGAGTCACAGCACGCCCAGGAATCCTCAACATTTCACATTCCAGAGGGAATGCCAAAATCCCAGAATCATTAAGGCTGGAAAAGACCTTCAAGATCATCAAGTCCAACCATCAACCAGCATCACTCCCATGTTCACCCTTAAACCATGTCCCCAGGTGCCACATCCATGTGTTTTTGAAGACTTCCAGGGATGGGGACCGTTCCAGTGCTTTACAACCCTTCCCATGAAGAAACTGTTCCCAAAATTGCTCCAAATCATTGATAAGGCAACTCAGTGAGTCTCCCTCTCCCAGACTTCGGTGTTTCCTTTTCCCAGTTGTCCTGGATGCTTGGAAGGACGAGTTCATCTCAAAAAACACGATGGCCTAAGAACTAATAAGCCTGAGCTGTCACCTCTCAAAGGAACTTGCAGACAGGAATTATCTCATGGATTTTAGGATCTGTTGATTATCTGTTGACTAATGAATTTTGATTTGGAAGGGCCAATTATTGAGCAATTGAAGTGAGATGGGGCAAATCCCATCCAAAACATTCATCAGCATCATTCCCAAATCTCTCCTCACGAGCCTTTTTTTTTTTATTTCCCAGGAAACCAAGGTAAAGGGATTGCTCCATGGGTGCTTCCTTGGCTTCTCAAGGAGCTGTTCCAGCTCTTTTTCTGGTCTCCACGAGGCAGCAGTTGATCCACAAACAGCAAAAACCTACTCAAGGAAAGGATGTAACCCTGCAGCAATGCTTTTCCTTTCTCATCAATGACCACATTCCCTGGAATCATCCAGCTCCCAGGGTCCTGGAGGTGAGTCCTGGACATCACCATGCCTTTGCTGCAGCAGATCACGTGTCTTAAGTGCTCACTGTACATTTTCAACCTCAAACCTTCCCTGATTTATACAGTTTTTGTAGTTCTGATGCTGTAAAATAACAACCAGGGACGTGCCAAGCCAAGGAGATTATCCCTGGAATAACAGCGGAGCTACGCAACGCCCTGGTGGGATCCTATTAATCAGAATTAAATCATATATCCTTGAAATATATCATGTGTAATGTACTGTCTGTAAAGTTAACACACCTTACATCATTCCTGAGGTCAGCAAACAGGTCAGAATCTGAAAAGGAGAGAAATAAAATCCAGAGGGAGAGTCTCCATCACCTGGGAGCTGCTGGAAGCCACATCCCCCCGGGCTGCTGATCTGCAGGGGCAGGTGGTTGTTCCCCCTCCTTTGTAGCGTTTCCAGATCTGCGGGGAAGGAATTGCCAAACCAGAACAGAGGGAGGCGGTTGTGCCCTCGCCCTTCCTCGTAGATGCACATTTCCCAGCCCTGCCCGGCGTTCCCAGATCCTGCCCCGTGGATCTCATTAGCCACAGCCTTTGACTGGAGAACTGAAGGTGCCTTTTGAAGCCCAGAGGCCACTGAATCAGCTGAATTCCAGCGGCACGAGCAGGATCAGGATGGGAGCTGCCGGCTACAGCCCTGCTCAGGTGTGGGGAGCAAACCCCACCAATCCAACCCCATCCCTGCCCAAAGCTCCACCTGCAGTGCCCTGGTGTTCCCGGCCCGGAGCGACGGCACGTTTGGAGTTCGGCTTTGGAGCCAAAATGAAGTTTTCCTAATTATTTCTCTTCTGGGTTAAAGAGACACAGAAAGTTGGGAAAGGGAATGTGTGTAACTCGAGTTGATGGGAGCTGCAGGTTGGATTGAGGTGAGGATTTTTGGAAATGTCCAGCCTTTGTGGGGAGGTGGGAGACGAGCTGCTGCCAGGGAAGTGGGAACACTTGGAGGGGGAAGTCTCAGCAGTGGCTGAGGGATAATGGATTAAAGGATGGCTGTGGAAGAGCATGGAGACCTTGTGGTAAAGGGAAAGCAGCCAGTGAGAGGAGTCAAATCAAGATTAAAAGTTGCTTTAATCAGCAGATGGAGCTGATAAGGAGCAGAGAGCAAAGCTCAGCTCAGTAAGGAAGGGCTGAGATGAGGAGGCAGCCACAGGGTGTGAGGGATTGTTTTTAGGGAGGCAGAGGGATATGGGAGTTGGTTTGGAGTCCATCACCTTGTCCCTGATGATGTGTTTAGATCCATCACCTTATTGTAAATTGAAAATAAATTAAAAAATAAAAATAAAATAAAAATACAGTGAAAATAATAAATAAAATAAAAAGCAAAACATAAAATAAAAATTAAAAATTAATTACTAAATAAAATTAAAATAAATAATTTAAAAATGAAATAAAAATAAAAGTAAATAAAAAAACAAACAATAAAACATAAACCAAAAAATTATTAAATAGCATAAAATAAAAATTAAAATAAAAAATAAAAATAAAATAAAAATAAATTTAAAAATTAAAAACGGAATAAAAATAAATAAAAAATAAATTACTAAATAAAAGAAAAATAAAAATAATAAAATAAAAAAATAGATAAATAAATACAAATAAATAAAAATAAATTACTAAATAAAATAAAAATTAAAATTAAAATTATAAAATAAATAGATAAATAAATACAAATAAATAAAAAATAAATTACCAAATAAAATTAAAATTAAAATTAAAATTATAAAATAAATAGATAAATAAATACAAATAAATAAAAATAAATTACTAAAAAATAATTAAAAATATAAACAAAAGCCAAATAAAAAAAATAAAAAATAAAAAAAAATAAATTTAAAAAAACCCAAAAAATAAATTAAAAATAAAAATAAAATAATAATATAAAATAAAGTAAATTATTGTGCACCTCGCACAGGTATCCTGCCTGTCCCATGCTCCATGCCATCCTCAAAAACACCCTGCAGCTGAGTTCCATGTGGAATGTGCTCCCCCAAAAAACTCAGGGGCAAGAATTGCTGTAATTCCAACGGCCAGACACATGGACAACCCCTGAGTGCACCTGGAATGTCCCCTGAGGCACAGCAGCTGCTGGAATAGGTCTGGGAAGGTGATGGCAGCAGATGCAGGGCTGGGGAGATGCTTTGGAACAGCCCATATCCCAACACAACCCCTTTCCAAACCACGGGATAAGCTGCTGGTTGGCACAGGACGCTCGGGAGACCCCCGGGGAGGCCAAACCACAGGCACAGGCAGGTCCAGGCACTGCAGGGCACTCCCAGCACATCCTGTAGGAAGGAAACTCAGTTCAAGCTCTCCAAAAAAGCCCTGGAGGCAGGAGGTTGCAGTGGGAGCAGACGGTTTAAATCCTATTTTCAATCCCAAGCCGGGATCTGGTGGGATGGTGCCAAAGCCACCCAGGGAGGGGAGGAAGGTGAGATGATCATGGACACAGGACCGTGTGCCCTTTTCCCTTTCCCTTTTCCCTCCCTGAAACCCCTACTGGCCCTTCAGGCCCCAGGCACACACCAGTCCTGACTGTGACCCCAAAAATCCTCATGTCAGCCCACAGACCCAGAGGTTTCCAGGGAAAGCTTTTTACCAGCCCACAAATCCCAAGACCAGGTCCCGTGGCCATTTCCAGCATATCCCTTCAGTTTTATCTATCATTTGGTGGTTTTTTCAATTCTGGAGGCCTGTTTTTCCTCGCTGCCTGTTCTCTCCCCCTCTGCAGCCCTGTTGTTTCATCTCCCCTCTGCTCACAGGCAGGTTCCTCATCCACCAGAATCCAGAGGTTGACTAGGGCACCACCAGTGAGGAGATTTAGGAGCTGGTGGCACCAGCGAGGCTCTGGCTCACAGCAAAAACCAAACAAAAGCAAGTAGTTCCCCACATGGGATGTAATTCAGCTTTGGAATTCCCTGTCTCCGGAAGCTGTAGATGTTTAAGCTGATGTGGGCTCTAGAAGCCACTGGAGATTCATGGGAGAATTCCAAGCTCATTTTATAGGAATTTGGGCTGGAAAGGACCCCAGGAGGTCCCAGGTGGCTGAGGGTCTTCAAATCCTCCAAAGGAGGAGATGACACAACTTCAGGCAACACACTCTGACACTCAGAGAATCATGGAATGTCCTGAGTTGGAAGGGACCCACAAGGATCACCCAGTCCAACCCCTGGCCCTGCACAGGACACCCCAACAATCCCACTCTTCCCCTGTTGTCCAAATGCTCCTGGAGCTCTGGCAGCCTTGGGGCCGTCCCCACTGCCCTGGGGAGCCTGTTCAGTGCCCGACCACCCTCTGGGGGAAGAACCTTTTCCTGAGATCCCCTTGGCTGGTCTGGTGATGAAAAAGTTCCTCCTTACACCCAGTTCGAACCTTTCTCCTTGAAATTCTCACCTGTTCCCTCCCACCCTCCCAGCACTGTGCAAACACAACATCCCTCAGACCTCCCGAAGCCCTTCCCTCTCCTCATCCTCT